AATCAAATTTATCTAAGCAAGAAATTTTCGATAATAATGGGCTAAGGGAGTTAAGGAACACCTGTTATAGTCAAGTACACACGAGCACTCAAGAATTTCATTTTTAGACCGATATTTTTTGCACTGCCTTTGTTAGAGGAGCCTACAAAGCTTGAACAAATGGAAGATTTCAAAGGACTGAAATAAAAGGTCTAGTAATTTATCATGCTAGTTGCGTCATTTTTTGAACATTTGTCAAAAAGCTGTAACTCTGAAAGCATTAAAGGAGCTCTTGATTCCTTTGATATTCTTTGAACTCACGTTTATAATTTGATTCAATTGCGAACAATATTTTTTCAGCATTTGTATCATTTTCTCTCCTAAAACAAGAAAAAGAAAAAAATGTTTTCAAACAGAACGGTCTCAGATATGAAAGGTCTATAAATCCAAAGCTCGAGAAGCAAATGGGGCACAATCGATTCCAATGACCAGACTGGCAGACAAAGCACGAGACTCCATCCAAGAGATAACACATAATTCATTCATGTTGCATGCATCTTAGACATACTTAAGTGCATCACATTCATCATTTTAGCATACATGATTTTTTGCAGCTTTTAGAATCAAGTTTCAACTTCAGGATGAAGGATACTCGATTCACAAACGCCTTTGAAGAACGATGGTGGTTGCTTAACTCAGCAGTGAGAAGCTACACCTCAACCGACTTGACATATCTACAGATCTCAGAACCAATTTCAGATAGGTTCGAGAACCAATTCAGATCAAATCCAATTCAGCTCAACTCAACAAAGAGCAGCATGTTTCCAGTTAAAACTTTCAAGCCAGATTTCAATTCCATGACGGAAGATTTCCAGCGGACAGAATTTATCAGTGGACTTTCCCGTGAAGATGAGTCGTCCAAAAAATCATATTACTTAGTTCAGACCCGCTCAGAGGAACCACCTGAAGAACTATGGCCGGCTTAGACCTGTGAAGGGAAACCATTTTTTTAAGACAACATTTGCAATATAGCTCAAGACAAGAAGGGCTATTTGCCAACCAAAGACCTTCGAGTTCGACTACACTCAGCCCCAAGGCACATCATTTGCAGCATAGCTTAAGTCGAGAAGGGCTATCTGCCAAAGACCCCCGAGTTCGATTACACTCAGCTTTGAGGGCATATCATTTACAGTATAACTCAAGGCTAGAAGGGTTATCTTTCAACAAAAGACCTTTGAGTTCGACTACGCTCAGCTCCCAGGCATATCATTTGCAGCACAACTTAAGTCTATAAGGGTTGTCTGTCAACAAAAGACCTTTGAGTTCGACAACGCTCAGCTCTAAGGCACATCATTTGCAACATAGCTTAAGTCGAGAAGGGCTATCTGCCAAAGACCCACGAGTTCGATTACACTCAGCTTGAGGGCATATCATTTACAGCATAACTCAAGGCTAGAAGGGTTATCTGTCACCAAAGACCTTTGAGTTCGACTACTCTCAGCTCAACGGCACATCATCTGCAGCATAACTTAAGTCGAAAAGGGCTATCTGCCAACCAAAGACCTTCGAGTTCGACTACGCTCAGCTCCAAGGCATATCATTTGCAGCATAACTTAAGTCGAGAAGGGTTATCTGCTAACCAAAGACCTTCAAGTTCGACTACGCTCAGCTTCAAGGCACGTCATCTGCAACATAGCTTAAGTCGAGAAGAGCTATCTACCAGCCGAGGACCTTTGAGTTCGATTACACTCAGCTCAAAGGCAAATCAAGTTCACAGCATAGCTCAAGGCAAGAAGGGCTATCTGTCAATAAATTGTCGAGCTCAATTCCATTCAGCTCGATGACACATCAATCACGCTACTGTCCAGCTGCAATCAAGGTTTTCAAGTCGAGAAGAAGACTGGGTTAACCGTGCCATGGTGACAAAAAACCACTTTCCGGCAGCATAGCTTAAGTCAGGAAAAGCTATCTGTCAATGAAGACTTTTTGAGTTCGATTTCATTAAGCTCAAGGGCCTGTCAACCACATATTGGAATTAAAGAATTACTTTCCAGTCAATTTTTTTAACCACGGTATTTAAACCGAGGAGAAGACCGATGTTGACTACAAATGGGTAACAAGAAGCCGCATCCCGATTCAAATTTTGAACTACGGTTTCAATTCCATATCATTTCAAGATGGACTCGACTTCGCGACGGAGGAGTCATCCGCAACCCAATTCAAGAGGGAGTTATTCTTCAACTCCACCGAACGAAAATTTGTATTCTTTTTATCTTTGTCCTATTTTTCGTTCCACGAAAAAGGATAAAGAGTAGCAGCTGTAAACACTAATTTTCGTCCACATATTATATATATATATATACATATACATCTATGTATATATTATAGTTCGCAAACGGTTTTGAAAATACATATATAATATATAGTTTTTTTAAAAGCATTTTGAAAATGAATATAGTATATAGTTTTTAAAACACTTTTGAAACTGTATAATATATAGTTTTTAAAACATTTTTAGAAGAAAAAAATATAATATATGGTTTTTAAAATCATTTTTTGAAAACTTATATAATATATATTTTTTTAAAGCATTTTTGAAAACTTATATATAATATATAATTTTTAAAACATTTTTGAAAATTATATTGTTTTTGAAAACATTTTTTGAAAATTATATAGTTTTTAAATTTTTTGTGAAAATTTATATATAGTATATAGTTTATAAAAAAACAATTTTAAAAAAATGTATATTATATAGTTTTATTTATTTATTTATTATTATTATTATCATTGTTTATTATTATTATTTTTATTACTTATTTTATATTGTTTTTCCCGTTTCCAGGTCCAATAACAGTCCAAGAGTTGAGTCTGAACCAGCTTAAAAGTCCAACCAGAACGGGCCTGAACCAGTTCAGCAAGGGATTAGGGTTTCTTGGTTTCAATCAGCACCGCAGGGGGGGTTACACAGTCAAAGGGAGAACGGCTGGCCGAGATCCCCGGGACTGACCCATCCCGGGATGACCGGCCAACCACGAACAGAATGACGTGAGACCCGAAACATACGGGAACACCCCCATATCATCAGAAACAGTCCCCATTGGGGCTGTATAAATAGACACGGGGATAATAGAACAGGGGGTGCAGTTTCGTTGAGGTGGGGATGGAAAGTGAGATTTGCAAGGTTTAATCTCCTTGTCGTCCTCCCATATCTTCACACTGAAACATATCAAAACAACAATTCGCCTCCGGTTCATGATGAACCAAGAACTAACAGTATTGTTAATGAAGAGGGACCCAGCTCCAAGGATAACAATCAAGAACAAGAAGAACGGGATAAAGGTTGGCTTCAACTCAATATAGGCGGTCGAGACTCTCGCATCAAAGCCAACATGATCTACTCCAACGTGTTATCCTTCTTCACTAAATCCAACGCCGAGCCGCATTATATAGACGATTTGGAGAATGTTTTAGAGGAAGAGAGTTTTGATGGGTCGAAAAAGAAGAAGCTGCTTTATTTTCCCGGGAAAGTGGAATCAAATTCATGGAGCTTTCGTTTTTCCAAGTCTTCTTGTTGTTCGTCTTCATCTGCGTCTAGGAGTTGCCAATCACGATCTGTTTCTAGAAGGAGGAAATGCTAAGCTTTCTTAGTAATACAATTTGGAGCATCAGCTTGGAAATCGAAAGGTGTAGATACGACTTAAGCATAATTTGCAAGAGTAGGAGCAGCGCCGTTAACTTCCCGATGGATAAACCTAGCTGAAATGTGAGGATGAGCGGCCAAGAGTTGATGAGCGGCCAAGAGTTGATGAGCGTCGCGAATATTGAACTGTTGAACAACATTCCAGCAATCACTTTCAATCACCACCCTCGACAACTTAGTACTCATCGCCAATCGAACATCATATGCGATCGCCAAAGCTTTCACAACACTTGTTGAACGAGGAACACCAACAAGGAACGCTTGTCCTGCCATAACAACGCCATCACTATTGCCCAAAATCATGCCAATTGCCGGTAGAGCAGGTGGCCGAGGGCAGGCACCATCGACATTCAACTTGAAAGTACCCATCGTAGTTTTAATCCAACAAAGAAGATGGTAACATTGAGGAGGTATTTTTAATTCTTGGGTTTGTTCTTGGTTCCATTTTAGGATTTTCACATTATTTGGATATATATATATGTATATTTTAGTTTAATCGTGAAAACATTCAAAATTGTGCCTCTTGTCATTATTTTAATCGAATTTTGTAATTTGTTCTTCACATGTCGTTGTTGCTATAGCTCATCGTGAACTTCTGTAATATTTTGATTAGGTGTAAGTATGAATTCTCTTTTTATTCTTTTGGAGTTAAATTTATTAGCTAATTTATAACAAGTGTCAGTTTTGGATTACAACATTTTGAAGTATTCTACTATTCTTTATAATATTCATCTATATCTGTACATATGTTGCTTTAAACATAGTCTTGGTAGACTCATGTGGATGTGCTCCTAAACTCAGAGTCCAAGTAGCTTAAATGTGTGCTTACTTTTGTCTATTGTTCAATTTTTAATTGTTATTTACCCTAAGTAACCATGCGGTTTATTTATTTATTTATTTTTTCTCCCTTCAATTTATCTAATATTATTTTTTCAATATAACCTTCTTTGACTTTTTTAGAGTTAATTTCAATCGATCAAAATGCAAATAATTATGATCGAATTTTTAAATTTCAATTTAAATTTTAATTTTCGCAATTAAGACAACCGACAAATTAATTGATACCGAAAGGGCAGTACAAGGGTACTAATCCTTTCTTGGCTATCACCGACTCCCGAACTCGACACATTTCTGGTAAAACGCAGGTCAGGTAAGATGGTGTCTAATCCACCTAAATATCATTTTTAAAGTGATCGGTGGCGACTCTAGCCCAATCAATTCAAGTCGAAGCCCAATTCCGGGTCCAGCCTAAAGACGGTTCCGACACATAGAAAGAAAAATACTTTTTACATGGTGTTAGTTATGATTTACGAAGTACCTTGTGAAAGAAGCAATATATGGTATCCCGAAATCTTGCTTGTTCAATCCTCGTGTTCATCCTCTCCTTCAGAATCTGTGGAACAGAGGCATTCAGACTCAGCATTAGAAGATAAATGTAATAAATGTCCTTTTCCCTAATGCTTCTGTTAGAATTTGAAAGTGGAAAACAAACAATGCAAGATTAACATAAAAGTAAGACGCGCAAGAGCTTATCTTCTAACAGCATCTAATGGATCAAACTTGACTTAGATCATGAACAAAATGAACAGAACCATAATCCCAGTTGTCATATCTCATGCCCACAAAAAGCTTGAGACATGTTTTCTACAAAGTGAACAAATGCCTATGGACATGTATACAATAGGATATGCAGTTAAACGTTAGGTGAGAAAGAGTTATCCGAATTAAGTGTTCGGCTTTGCTCTCTGCATGAATCATACTTTTTTAAGCTCTAATAATTCACTTGCTGGTCTAGCTATCGGATATCGCGCATTCTCATGAACCTTAGAATTAGCGTATGCATGCTCAAAATTTTCTTTCATTTTCTTCCTAAGCCTAGCTACAGTCTAAAAGCATTTCTAGACGGTTCATACCTGATCGAACATCATCGACTTGTCCACCGGATTGGACTTGTTGCCTAATCACTCTTATCATCAAGATCCACCAATAAATATGAACAACAAGCAAGCATAAAAGAAGAGTATTAAACAAATAGTAGTATATAGATCCATCCACCATGTGCTTCTCCTTGTCCAATGTCAGAAGAATTTCATAGCTGTCAAAAGTAAATTAAAAAAAGCATTAAAAGAAAGAAAGCAAGGGGTTAGCCTCCGTTATCGGCATGCCGAGAAAAGTTGCACAAAAACATACGGTTAACAATGACAATACATGAAGATGAGGCGCATAGATCAGATAAAGGGTTAGGTCAAAGCTTACAAAAGTTGAGTTCTGAACCGGCACAGATACTTCTATAGATTGTATTGTGTCTGTTCAATGGCATTAGGAATATAAAAGAATAGCATCTGCATCTGCAACATTGGATGTATGATGTGCTACAAATCGATGGTTTCTACCACGGGTTCTATTAATCAGATTCGATAGAATTTTCATCTACTTTATTGATTAGAGTTACATTTTCTAGACCGATACTTCTCCCAAGTTAATATGCTTACACACATTTATACCATACAATACATGTAGCACGAGTAAGTTCTTGATTCTTTTTCTGAAGGATGTCGTAAACAAAGGCACAAAATACAAAGATATACCCGAAAATACTGAAAGTGCTTCTGTTAAGCTGAGACAAAGGCATACCTTGTACTCCGTATTATCCAGAACGGAAACAACAACACACGAAGAATGGTCCAAGAGAGGGTAAAAAGTACAAACCCTACACTAGCAAGCCATTCCACACCACTATATTTCGACATCTTTGCAGTTTCTAGGAACACATCACTCCCTTCATGAAGGGCTAAAGTAATTGAACCTACACGAGCAAACCTGCAAGAGGAAGACCGAAATTGTTAAGAGGCAAAAGGAAATAGAACATCGATTAATCCTCAGAAAGCTAGAAAAGAAGGGTATCGGACCACGCAAATGTCACAGGATTTTATGCGTTAAAGGATATATATACATGCATAGAAACATATGAACACATAGGATCCTTTTAGAGCAATCAGAAGTGAACTCCACTAAAGAACAATACGGAACCAAAACCGTGCTGCATTCGAACACCATGAAATACCTGAATACGTAAGACAGAACAATGAGAATGATAGTTGCTATGTGATGAACCATGGACACCAAAAAGTCCGAACGTCTCGTCTCCCAAAAGATCAAAGCAAACAGCGAGTACGTATAGAATCCGCCGGCATATGTGTAATATGCTTTTAACTTCAATCTGAGCATCAAGAACAAGAAAAAATCATCTACTAAGGGAACATAACACGTGGAAAATCATTTATATTATTCATGAGTGAAGAGCCTACTTAATTTTTTGATCAGGCCAAACCTGTTCTCCTGGCCCTTCCCAAAAGAACTTTGTATTGGTAAACCAAGGCTCGCCATAGGAAACATATATAGATATAAGTTCAGATGTAAAGAAATAGATACACTTCCAAGCTGACTCCTTGAATTTATTGAGTTTCTTCCTGTTATCATGCTTTTGAACTTCTTGTAACGTGTGGGATTTGCCAAGGACCAACCTCCTTGCCAAATTCTACAACAAATATTAGTAAATCCAAAAGAGTTTCAAGTCGAAGTTGAGTTACTGAGTCGTTTAGCAATATATATTCTCTAATGAAAGTACGAGTCTACTATCAGTTAGGAAGGGAAAGAACTAAAATCATAAGATAAAGAAACCCAACGGCATAGTCGAAATAAAAAAGGTCAACTAGGAAATAAAGTATGAAACTTGAAGTACCTCAAAGGCAAATTTGTCAAGGAAAAGCCTGATAGCAGGGAATAAAAGAGCAAAGAAAGGGAGGAAGACCAAATCAGTGAGTTGTGGGTAAGACTCGGAGTCCCAGTTGATTGAATTAGTGAATCCCAAAAGACCCATTTGCTAGTTTCTGGAGAATATTGAGAGAGAAAGGTGGAGAAGAAAATATTTGATGAATAGTGAAATTGTGGTGTGGTTGAGATTGAAGAAGACGGCCATTTTAGCCTTTAATCTTTTGAAACTCTTCTTTCAAAGGAAAATTGAAGGTTGACTACCCCACAGGGAAAGGAAAATTCAACTCTGGCGGGCTGGAAATAATGGAGAAGGCACGCCTTGCATATTTTAATATTTTAAAATTATTTTTTTTGTAAAAAGTTAAAAATATAAAATTCTAAAGAAGGTTAAATGCATATTATAATAACCAAAGTGAGGGAGGAAAAATAGGGGTACTTCTGCTGCTCCGCACTTAAAATAAATTAATAAACGGTGTGATCCGTTAAAAAAAGTAATTGGTTAAGTCACCTCAAATGTTATAATTCGAAATCTAAAATGTTATCAATCGTAGTAATATTACCGGTTATATTTAAATGTTATAAATAATAATAAAATAAATTATAAACGGTAAATGTGATGAATATTACAGAGTTTAAACCGATAAGGCTTTAGATATTCTCATAATAACGAAATAAGTTATAAACGGTAAATACTATTAATATTATTAACGTTTTAGTTTGCGCTTAAATATATTATGATTCACAAAGAAATAGGTTCTAATTTTAAATGTTAATTTTCTTTGTAAAAAAATCGGTTGTGCCTAAAATATTATAAGAGTTTAAGCTACTGGAGTTTTAGATTTTCTCACGGTAACAAAATAAGTTAAAAACTAAAAAAGTTAAGAATATATATATAAGAAATATGGTTGCGCCCAATAATGTTATGGTTTACTAAGAAATAGATTGCGACCTGAAATGTTAATATTTTTATTAATAAAATGGGTTACGCCCAAGAATGTCATGGTTTTGAATAAAAATAGGTAGTGATGTGTTATATTAATAATTTTATTAATAAAATATGTAGCGCCCAAAAATGTTATAATTTTAAATAGAAATAAGTTGTAATGTGTTATGTTAATATATTTATTAATAAAATAGGTTATGCCCAAAAGAAATTAAAAATCATTTAAAAAATTTTAAATATAAATATAAAAAGTTTTAAACATATAATATAAAGGTTGACAATTTTAAAAAATAATGAATACTTTTGGAAATATATATATATAGTGCAATCTTTTCATTTTTTTTAAATTTAAAAAATATAGATACTTTTGAAAAAAAAGTATTGAAAATTTCGAATTCAAAAAAATCATATAAAATGAGAAGGTTGCAAAGTATCAATATTTTTCCAAAAGTATTCATATTCTCGAATTAAAAAATAAAAATAAAAAGGTTATAAAGTATTGATATTTTTCCAAAAGCTAAAGTGTGATAGGAAATCGGATAAGCGGATAAGCGGATCGAACTGAAATTTCACAAAAAATTTAAGGATGAAAGATAAAGGCTGGAAATATTATTTCCAAGATTTATAATAGTGAAATTTAATGTGAAACACTAGAATTGAAGTCAAATTTCCATATTTAGCCGAAATTGGAAAATTTGGTGACTATATTGCAGTTTTCAAAAATTCGCAAGGGCAAAGGTGGAAAATAGATTTTTATTTTTTTCGGCTTTGACTTTGTTATATTAAAATTGAAGATATTCTAATGGCAAGCTGAAATTATCATATTTCATTAAGGGTAAAATGATAATTTCACATTAATTGAATTTTAAATTCAATTATATTAACTTAAGACAAGTGTATTAAGCTATAATTGACAAAAAAATAAAGAAATTTTTAGCATATTCATAATCTCCAAATGTGAACCACCATATCTAGGCAAGAAAAAATCAATTAATCCTTTTGAAATTTTCTATCATTTGGCATAATTGGTTCATGGAAATCATGTTTGGATGATGATATTTGTGATTAGGGTTTATTAAGAACATGTTTGATTTTGTTGATTCAAGGCTTGATTTTTATGTTATTGATGTTTTTGATTAATTCTAAAGCACGAGTGATGAGTAAAATAAAGTGTAGAGACATATGTGAAGTTCGGCCATGACCTAGGATTTTGGGAAGTTAGTGATTTGATTAAATTATATTAGGGGTTTAATTGTAAAAGCTCTGAAATGATGTTTAGAGGTTGATTTCATGCTTGAATCAAGTTGAAATCAATGAATTTTAAACCCTAACCATTCGGCCTTGTGGAAATAATTGGGGGGAATTATGAAAAATTTCCCTAAGCTTAGAAATGATGCTGGGAAGATTCTACAATCTTTAGAAAGTTATTTGGACCAATTTGTATTTTTGTGAAAGTTGTAGGACCTATTCAATAATTATGAAAAGTTAAGGGTTGGAATTGAAATTGTTAAATAGGTGATGTAATAAGCTGGAATTTAATGTTAGAATGTTAAATTTGATGTTAGAATGTGAAATTAGACCATTTTGGGAAGTGATGTAATTATTGAGGTATTGGGATGGAATTAAATGCTGTAATTTTTAATTATGTAAATTGAAGCTTGGATTTAAGTTAAAGGGAAATGAATTATTTTAAGTAAATATAAAAGTTGAGATGAATTCGAAAAGAATTCATAATTTGTGGTTAAAATGGAAATTTGAAAATGTTGTGTGCCTTAGTGATGAATATGAATAAAAAGGAACTTGAATGGTCAGTTTGAAGTTTTGAGATCAACATTTATGTTGTGACAAGAAATTAGTACCGGATGAGTGCTAAGAGATTTTTAGGAATTTATTTTCTATTGTTTACTTATGTTAGTAAGATTCTAACATGTGGTTTGAAATGTATATGTTTTATAAATGGTTTTTATTTAGATTATAATTGAACTCAAGATCAAACAATATTAAAGTTAAGGAGAAGCTTAGGGATAAATGTGAATTTCTAAGGATGGTTTGCAAGCTAAGGACACCAGGTGAGTGCATTTAATTTGTGTTTATGCTATTAATTAAACATTGGCTTGCAACGAGTCAATAACGGAGTTAATATGGTTAGAAGTATGATTTATGCATATATAATATTTGGTATGCTAATAGAATTAGTAAATAAACTAAGGAAGCAAATTAGTGAAATCTGCCTAGATTTGTGACTAGAATAGTAAGTTTAGAAAATCATCATAAATTCTAAAGAAATTATTAGAATATGATTTTTACACCGTTGGATTTTTAATCAGTCTAGTTTCGTTTAAAACTAACATCTATTGATTTTGAGGAGTATACAAAAATATATAAAGTTTTAATCGAGGATAAGTCAGAAAATAAGGCAACATATTCTGCCCAAAACAGCTTCTGTAAGTCATATTTGAAAATTCACTATATATTGTACAAATTGAATTAGATGAAGTGCCTTATGTGGTTAGATTTGTATTTGAGTCTAGTTTTCAGTGGTGTAAACAAAATAATTTTTAAGTGTATAGATTAATACATAATAATATTTCTTTTAAGTTAGTACAAACTTTTAGAGTATGAGATTTCGATAAATTTCGTCATCGAAGCAAATTGAAAAAAAAATTTAAAACTTAGTGAGGTTTATATGTTGGACTTATAAATAAAGTATCAAAGTGAGTGCATTCATTTATTTAAGTTATACTTGATTAAGGAAGACTTGTGATAAGTCAACATCAAATGACTTTAAATGAAAAAGTTTGAATCAAATTATGGAATATTTCCATAATAATTAACGAAATGATTTATAATTTTATTTTCTATATGAAATATAAAATATTTTTTATAGGATATTTTCTGAAAAGATAAATGAATAGTTTCTACAAAATGATTTTCGGACATGAGTTGCTCAAATTATTTTCTATACTATATGTATTATAATTATGGATGGTTTCGGGTATGAACTGCCCAATGCACTGATTTTGATAAATGATATTGGAAAATGCTACTGATTGGAATGTTAAATTTATAAATGATATGAATTTAAAGTAAAACTCATTGTATGTTGCATTGAGAGTCGTAGGTACATTTGACATGTCATGAGGTGGAGTGATTCTGATCTGATACATTTGTGTACATTATGTAATACCACAAATTTTGACCAGTGACTAAAATGTAAGTTTTGAAAGTTTAGTGGCTAAAGTATAAACTTTGAAAAGTTTAGGGACTAAAATTGTAAAATTTCAAAAGTTAAATTGTTGGATTTGTGAATTGGTAGTTTAGCTCAAGACAATTACTTTGGTGGGTTTCATAATTTTTGATCTGGAGTTTGTATACAAGTTTATTAAAGGACAAAGAATGATATATTATTCGAATAACTGGATCGAATCGGAAGATAACAAAAATTTGAAGGAAGGTAGACTTGGGTTGGAAAATTTGTATGGATATTTTTAATTAGTGGAATTTAAGTTAGGATTGGTGTAATTTGGTGAGAATTACACTATAAATTTAAATAGTGCAATTTAGTGACTAAATTGCATCTTTCAAAAATTTCAAGGATAGAAGTATAAAAGCAGAATTAAGATATTTTTTATGGATATGATGATGTAAGGGATGATGTCATAGAGTGGCATGGATGTAATTTTGGGAATTCATTAATGGTAATTTAGACTTTTGGCCCCAAATGAATAAAAAAATTAGTTTTTAATTAATTTTTAAAGGATAAAGTGGGAGATATTTTGTGAACTCTTCTTCTCTTCTCCAGCACCTGGACGAAACTCCATAGCCAAGGTAACCAAGTTTTTGTTTTTAATTTTTGGTCAATTTTTACTAAAATTTTAAGTTAAGTTGTTAAGGATAAAATAACCTACATGAAATTCTCTTTCATTTGGTATTCAAATCTTCATGTTTCATGCAAGTTGGTAAGATGTTGATGAAGGGGAAGTGTGATTTTTATGATTAAAAATCGATTATTGATATTAGAAGTGTTGTAAGAATTGATGAAGGACCTAAGTATGCAAATTAATGAAAACAATTTAGATTTTTGAATCGGGTAGTGAGTTTGAAAATTCACCAAAATTATATAAAACTGATTAGAAATTATAAAAATGATTTGGATATTATTTTTATATATTTGTGTTCATATATGAATCTAGTTTTGTTTAAAATAAACAGGGATCAATTTCAAGGTATATACAAAAAGATATGAATTTTTAACCGAGGAAAGGTCAGAAAAAAACGGGGTAGCAGATTCT